CAGTGGTTAGTGTTTTGCCTGATTTGATGCTAATATTCTTGCATTTAAAAGCAAATTTGTCGTCATCTTATCATTTCGTGGAATTTTAGTTTCTAGCATCGATCTAAGAATGCCCTTTTTTACCATGTATATGATCAGAAATCCAACGTCAAAATGATCAACGGTGTGAACAAGAAATAGATGATATGAAGCGGGGTATTAAGACTGGTAACATTACCCCGAATTCTTCACTTCTCAAATTCTCAGATGAAGCTCTGGAGGAGCAAAAACATGTCATCGGGATAGCAGATGAGAAAGTTGCATTGGCTGCTCAGGCTTATGATTTGGTACAAAAGATCAGAAATTCTTCTTTATTCTGTTTGCAATGTACATATTTTTAAGTCAGGACATGAGATGGAAAGTTATTTCCATTTTTTCTTTTCTTTACTTCTCCCCATTTATTCAAGGGATTTTTCCATTATTCATAGGAAGACTGTGTTCCAAAAGAATATTCATGGCTCGTCTTCTGACAGATTACATGTGACAGTGAGTCCTTTGATTCCATGTTATCTCTATACCAGAGGACTCTTCTGTGCCTCTCTGTAATGGACTCAATTCATGTTCAAGAGTCATATTATGAAAACAAACTACCATGTTATGCATAAATTGAAGAATCCATATGCCACGCTCTTGTTGGTTTAACATGGGTATGAGATGGAACTTACTAGAAGGGTCATTGTATTATAGCTATTGATGTTGAGCTCAGTAGTATCAAAGTGGTCTCAATTGCCTCACCAAGGAGGATTTCGATTTCAATATATAGAAGTGTCTTGCATGGTACACGGCTTACATACAGGTAATTCCCGTAATTGTCTACCTAAATATGGTATAAACTAATTACCCTATATACAAAATATACGAATAAGAATAAATACAGATTTGGACGAGAATTGCCTCTAAATCTCTTGTCGTATATGACTAACAAGTAGTGTGATCCACTTATGTTTCAGAATAGAATATTTTATTATCTTAAAAATATAATCTTACTGAAAATCTATAAGCTTATCGATCATCAATGAGTAACTCTAGGAGATTGGTAAATCTATTTATTGTCAAGAACGGTTCATTGTGTCTTTATTGTCAGCATAGTATGTAAAATAGATTACAAATTTAAATTTCTAAGAGGACAACATGGACATTTAGAACCATTTCTTTGATGCCTTGATGCATGAATGTGCATTTCACCTTTCCCTGCCAGGTCCCTGACCATTTTTGGTACATCCATGTGGCTCAAAGGAGTTAGGCATTGGATCTAAGACATCAATCTCTTCCCTGTTTGAGCGGAATTTAACATACAAATGTACGTTTACTTGATAGTCTTAATGATTATACTTTTTTCGTGACAGGTTGATACTCACATCCAGCATCTTTATCAATATGTGAAGAAAATTGATGAAGATCCTAGGTGTGGTATATATCTTTCGAATTTCACATCTCTGTTTATTTTGTATTTGGGTTTCATTTCATTAAAGAGAATTATTTTTTCTATGGGCATATAAAAGATTTCTCCTTTTCTCTAGTGGTTTGCATAGCCTTTCTTTCGTATGTGACAGAAAGAGACAATGTTGCTGCAACCACATCTCCTGTTTTAGCACTTGAGTATAATGCGAAAGCTGGAAGGTCCGGTGACAGCAGTGGCAGAGGACGTAAAAAGTAACTTCTGAGTACTTTAGATCTGTTCTTTTGAACAAAATGGTATTTGACAAGTATGCAGTACTCTCTGGTTCGATCTTAAGCCAGCTAAGTTTTTATGTGACATGAGGCACTTTAGATGAATGATTTTTTCTCCTAAAAATATGAGATGAGCAATAGGAAATCAGATTAGGAAATAATTGTTTTCCATTTCGCATTGTTTGTATGAGGTTCAGATAGAAACCAGCCCAACCCCAAAATAATTGAAACTTGTCCATAAACTGGAGATGAAGGACCCAATAAAATGGTATTCGATATTTGGACCATATAATTTGTTGACTAAATGAAGTGCTCTAATAAAAAATGGATATTAGGATGAGTGATTGATAATTGATACTGAATGTTATTCTTGATGGATAAACTTTCAGATGAATCAAGAAATGGAAAGCTCAATAGAAAATCACCTGCATTAATAGTTTAGTGCCAGGATTTGCAAAACTGGGAGAAAAATGTGCTTAAATTAATTTTAAGATAGTTTTCTATTTCCTATTTGCTATTAAATTTATGCTTAGTTGTAAATTGCGGAGATAGGCCTCAATGAAGATTTTTGTTTGCTGTTTTCAGTAATTTACACAAATCTGTTAAATTATAAGAGAAGATGAAAAGGACTACTTGAGGCAAATGTTATAGATGTAGAAGTAGTAATTGTCTGGTATTTACATTCTCATCAGTTTGATTGAAATTGCACGTTTTGTGTTCCACAAATTATCAGTGCATGGTTTGATGAGTCTGACACTAACTTGAAGAGGACTTGAATGTAATGGGAAGTTGTTAGTGTTGGCAACTCTGTGATTCCATTAATATTTCAAATATGTATTTTGAGTTATCTTCTAATATCTATTTTAAAAAATTGGCATTCGCTGAAAAGTTAAGATAATTTATGCCTATATTTCCTAAAATTGTAACTTTTGTATTTGGCCTAATATTTTATGACTATTGCTCCTTCAACACATTGAAAAGGTATCCAATACATATCTTTTTGGTTTTTACAGAAACCAATAAAAAAGTAGAAAAATAAAAAATAGGTGGATGATTTCATTTTATTTGAAGTTGCGGTCAATAGCCATTGCCAGAAGTGATCATATGTTTGTGCAAGTCAGTTGCATATCTTTATAATTGACCTGTCCATTCGTAGGCCCACCAAGGAATCGTAGGCAGAATTAGCACAGTGCCCATCATTCTTAGTATCAATCTGCACCTTGGTGCCATGTTATCTTTGGGCATAGGATTGATTGAGAAATTAAGTGAATTAGGATACCTCTCATAAAAGTACCACTAATAAAATTATACTCCATTATACTGAATTTGGAGTCTGGGTGTATGAATATTTCCTTTTTGAAGTCATTGATATGATTCTTTTATGCATAGGTGAATTTCGGAAGGTTCTTTAATGTTTTTTCTTATTTATGTTTGTATTGAGATAGTTTTTCGGTTCTTTTCCGTTGTGTGTTTAAGCTTTGGCTGTACTCATGGTAACCGGTGCAGGTACACAGAGAGAGGTGCAAATAGAGCATAAAACTGCATAATTGATTTCTACAATTGGGGAACCGGCAGTTGTAGTCAAATAACATTAGGAGCATGTGATTGGAAGATTCGAGAAGTCACAACTACTTGTATGCTGGTGACAAGGATATAATGTTATATTAAATAAGAATACTCTCATACGCAAGTACTAGGCATTTTTATTTACTTGTTTGTCTTATGGCAAGGTCAGAGAATGAGTGATTCAGCTTAAATTCTGTGGTTTGTAAAGGCATTTCTTAATAATCTTCCCTTGTTTTGGAAGTCAATGAGCCTATTTGGTAGAAAATAAGTAAAATTTAAAGTAATTATTTTTTCCTTTCTGCAGGACACGCCTTGCAAAAGTAACAGCTGCTGCTGCAGAAGCCTCAACAAATCCAACCAGTATGGAGTTAGATCTACCCGTCGATCCGAATGAACCAACCTATTTTTTCTGCAATCATGTGAGCTATGGAGAAATGGTTGCATGTGATAATCCCGATGTGCATAATGAAATACTTTTATTATCCTTTTTTGTTCTTTCAACCTCTGCCTTGAGCTAACAGAGACCAACTGATGTTTCAACAGTGCAAGATAGAGTGGTTCCACTATGCTTGTGTTGGCCTCAAAGAACAACCCA